GCGTCCGCCCCGGGCCTCTCTGGGTCGGTGTGAGGATGACTTTCTGGAGCCGTCGTCTTGTTTAAATAAGTACATGATTGACCCGTTGTGTTAATTATGAGCCACAAAGGCACCCTGCTGTGCATTCAACACTCACAGCTGCCACACTGGGCAACACTGAAAAGGTTTTCCTGTCTTGGAAGAATAAACAGAGCCTTGGTCGTCTCTCTTGCAGGTCTCTGGCCGGGTGGAGCTCATAATACTCTGTCCTGGTACACCTGGTCAGGGTCTCTGGTCGTATAAGCCGGCCTCCTGAGCCAGAGCCTATCTCACATCCAGCCACCTATGCTCTTCTCTGTCTTAGTTTGGTTCGTTTTACACTGACAACATGCGCCACACGTTGACCGCTGATGCTTCATAACTCACCCCACTGTTAATGCATTTTCTTTAATTTCAGTAAAACCTCTGCGTGCATCTGCTCCTGTGCTGCAGCCTAAGAGCCAGTCACAGCAATGTGCAAAGACATTCCAATCCTGCACCGTAAAATAATGATTCTATAGCTTCAGGCGGATTTCCCAACAAATAACGTGATAAAGAATCAAACAGATCTTTACTTGTGTAATACTGAACCGTCATGTTCAGTCAAATCAGTATTATTAATTTAGCCAGAATCACACATTTGGCTCCAGCAGTTACCCATTTGTACCAAATATTCATTTTAGAAGACGGCTCTTCCAAGACAAACGAACATGTTGAATATCCAGAGGAAGCAGAAGAAGCACAACCAGTGTAGCCACTAGCTGACCAGAATCTGTTGACTCACGCCTCATTATTACTCTAATACAAGTCAAATACTACTCAGTGTTTTTAAACCTGAAGCAGCTCATGTTGCAAAACAACAGAAACAATCACAGCCTGATAACTGGCATAAATAATACCTGCTGTTACGAGCTAATGACCTTTCTTGTTTCTGTTTTCTGCTAAATGCTTATAACAGACAGAACACACACCCGGACTGCCTTCATGTCTTCAACCAGAAATGCATTAATCAGCTGACGGAAACACAGAAACAGTGAAGCTACGTAAAAATGAACAAACTGATGATTCAAAGCAGCCCAGTGAGTCACTACTTTCAGCTCTGCATGAAACAAACAAACATACACGAGATCCGAAGTTAAATTCTTTAAAGAATTCCTTCGTTTTCAGGTATGATTATTCAATAGATGCTGTCTTTACAGAAAAAAGGAATTAACTGAAATGTAATGCGACTCCATCATGACTGTAATATTGACAAAGTTAGCCAATGAGACTTCTGTTTGACGTCCTCGGCTGAAACATACTCTCACAATGGCACCGGTAGAGAAGAGGTCAGTTTCAGAGCGATGCTAAGCTACATGCTAACTGCTCATTAGCAGATGAATTCAGGCTGCAGTGGGAGTTGTGTTGAGTTGAGCAAGTCTGCATTTCATGTTGGCTCTTGTTTCATCTTCACAACAATCCCTTCCACCCTGGAGGTCTCTGCATCAGTAGCAGACTGTATCTGAGTTAAAGACACAACCAGCACCTTCATTTGATGACTGACAAGCTCATTTACTGAAGAGTCCATCTGGTGCTGCTGTGATCAAGATGGATGTTGAATTTGTTGTGCTTTCTTTCTGTTTCATCAAATTAGCTAAAGTGGCAGTTTTAATTTAGTTAATGCCACGAGGCTGTTCTGTTTATCATTTACAGTTTTGATTCGTGAAGACAAATGTGTCATTTTTTTTCCCTACAGTTTTCCAATTCTGACTGTGATTAGAGGACAAGGACACCTATTGTGTTTTAAACTATATCATCCCCATTTTGGCCTCACTGTTTTGCAGCTGAGGTGGCTCGGTGGTTAGCACCGTTGCCTCACAGCTAGAAGGTCGCCGGTTCTGCGAGGGGTCTCCATGTTCTCCCCGTGCAGCGTGGGTTCTCTCCGGGTTCTCCGGCTTCCTCCCACAAAGTCCAGAAACATGCTGAGGTTAATTGGTGATTGTAAATTGTCCGTAGGTGTGAATGTGAGTGTGCTTGGTTGTCTGTCTCTAAGTGTAGCCCTGTGATAGACTGGTTACCTGTCCAGGTGAACCTGCCTTCACCCTGAGTCAGCTGGGATAGACTCCAGCCCTCCATGACCCTAGTGAGGATTAAGGTGTAGATGATGGATGTTTTGCAGCTGTTACTGACTTCATTAGGGGATGTTTTCAGGTGATTTGTTTTGGAGGTTTTTCATTCCCAGAACTTACGGGGAGTAATAGATGTGAAAATATAATTACAGCTTACTGGGAGTTCTCATTAAGACAGTAGGACGTGTTTCGTTCCTGCCGACGGCCTGCTACAGTCCTCAGACCTCCACTTCAGCACAGCAGAGCCCTCCTCTACTCCATCACATCCCAGCAGCTTGGCAGCCAGCATCTGTCTGCTGCTGTCTTTGCCTTCTTTCTTCCCCAGTTTGTCTTCAGACGGCCAGCTCAGCAAAACGGTGAGGAACTGTACCATGTCCTCAATCTGTCTCTCTGAATCACTTAACAGAACATTTAGTTTGTTTTCAATGATTGATCGCCTTCTAAACCCTCTACGTGCCCTCCTCCCTGTGCAGCCTTTCTCAGTAATATTCCTCCTCTTCACACTGGTGCAGAACTGAGACAGTTTGTCATCTTATAGCTGCAGAGGCCTTTCAAAGTGTTTCACACAGCTGGTGCTTTCTGCAAGAGGACACGCAGTAATCGGGCTCCTGTTGAAGCCAAATCAGTGACTACATCAGAGCCCAGAGTTGTGTACGAGAGCCTGAATGTACCAAAGCTTTGTCGAGAGCTCAGGATGCAGAGAACTGACGGGATATCTCTACAAAGTCTTCTTTGAAAACTGTCAAGACGTATTTTGGAGTAGAATTTGTGTCAAAACGCCAGAGCAATGGGAATATCCTTGACTTTGCGTCACTACGTCTCTACCTTTTAGCTAATGTTAGATCAGCAGCAGAGCTGAAGGGGAAGAGGTGGCCTCAGCTAGACAAAGAGAGGGAGGAAGAGAGACGAGAGGCAGCAGCAGAGAGAGTACTCTGGATGTATGGTCGGTACTCATGTTCCACATATTGATCATTCACACACATTACAAATGGGACCAGGGAATAAAACACCTGCCGAACATTTCCAGAGAAGGCTCATCGAAAAAGGAAGGGCTGCTGTCTAAGCAGCAGTGCCCTTTGTAATTCTGTCTCCTGTAGTTCAAGGCAGCAGCGTCGTTTTGTTTGCCAAATGCTTCTCATTTTGGATGAGAAATAGAATGAAGCAGGAGGTCGAAAGATCTGAATGATGTCAGCACTCGGTAGTTTAATAGATCAGGCGGCTGGAAGCAAAGAGTTGGCAGATGAAATGAAGTGTGGTGATTATGAATAATGTAAAAGAGAGACGGGTGGAATAAAGACAGAGTCCTGATGTCTGTGCAGACGGACGGTGCATGAATGCATGTTGGTGTGTTTGTGTCAGGGAGGACACACGTCCTTCACCTTCCTCCGGTTAGATTTCTTCATATTGGGGCTGAGATGGACATGAATTTACCCCCTTTCAAAGGATTCTGATTTTAGACAGCGCACATGGTACTGACCTGGTTCTAACTAGGCTGCTTGGTGTAGTTTGGCTCCAAATGTTGAATTATCCCACAAAAATAAAACCCATCACTTCTGGGTGCACTAGATTCCTCCATAAAGCTCACTGAGGATCTGTGAGGGCTGAAGGCATTTCATTTGGCTGCTATAGTATAACACAGTTAATACTTTAGAAGTACCTGCAGGCCCTGTGTGAGAGTGTGTGTGTGTGTGCGAGTGTGTGTGTGTGTGTGTGCAAGTTCACATTAAAGCACAGGCTTACTTTTGGGCGTCGGGCGGTCTCAGGGGAGTCGATATGCTGTGCACAATGAATTCCTTAATGCCGTGGCTATTTCTGCTCCTCACTACCAAGCCTGGAGTTCCACTGAAATGTGAGGATTTAGAGGCGACTGGGCGGCACTTCACAGCACCGTTAACCCTCCTTGTCATATGAAAACTGGAGCATCGTTGGCTGAACATGCTGTAAATGTTCCGTCTTACTGGGATGCACAAAAGCTGCATGTGAGAAGAGAGAACTTCAACAGGAAGCCTGCAGCAAAGACATGGAGTTTGGGCGATGATGAGGCAGGGAGGGTCTGAAGAGATTGCATTATGGGAAATGTAGGAAGAGAGTTGGGATAACTTGCTTTGCAAATTCTACATTTGTTCTCCTAAAATGTGAAATGCATCGCTGGGTCCCTGCAGCAGCCCTTTAATGTGTCACAAATATGAATTCCCTGATAGGTTGTTGCTCTCATTGCTGACCACTCACCAGAGAACACGGACCACCAACATACATATTTATGATGGACGGGAGTATTGGCAGGCAACCCAGACCTCACTGACACACAAAAAGCCATCACACACTGTCTGCTAGCTGGCTGTGAAACCTTGAACACTCCCTTTGTCTGCACACACACACACACACACGCACACTACTATGTATTAAGAAGAGTCCTCATCACTGCACTGCACCGTTAATTAGTGAAAGTAGCGGCGCGGCCCGGAGCTGTCCACGGACGTCGGTGCTGAAACCTGCTGCATCATAACGGAACAACCCGGTGTCAGCATCAGGACCACACGCACAGCACACGGGCTGGATGCATGTTTTGCATCACGGCAACGTGAAAGTTCCTAAAGATGTAAGTTGCCAAAAGCCAATCATGAGAGTTGTGGCCGGAGTTCTGCAGGTGAACTGACACCACTTCTATAGCAGCAGCAGCAGCAGCAGCAGCAGCAGCACAGGCTTTAACCCTTCAATGCGCCATTAGAACATCAATGCAGAACCAGAACATACAAGCTGCCAAACTCCACAGCAGCTCCTCCAAACAACGACACAGCAGCAGTAGTGTGCAGGTACCACATAAAACCCCCCCACCGGTACCGAACCGACATGCTGAAGCCATGCAGCACTCACACATAGGCATGGTAGATGAACGCCCATCCCCGCGGTCTCTCCAGCGCATTGTACAGGAAATTCTGTAGTTTCCGATAGTTGGCATTTTTCTTCGACGGTCTGGGTCTCCCCGCGGAGATGCTCGATCTGGGTCTGCAGAGGATGCTGCTCCGCTTGGTGCTTTCCGAGCCCGCAATGAGCAGCGCCCCGTCCCTGCTGGATTCGGGAGCCCCGGGGTCCAAACCGACGAACCCGACTTTGTGCTTCTTCTCTCCGGCTTGAGCTGGGTAAACCCCGCCGTTGAGAGATTTCTGCACCATCCTAAAGTCGAGGCGATTCCAGCGAGGAGTTGTTCGTGTCCTTGCCGCGGGGATGCATCACCGGTGCTGAGGGGTGTGTGCTGGTGGAGAATGCAGACGGTGTCGGTCCCCCTAGAAAACCAATTGCAATAACCGTGCGAAACTGCACAGTGTATGCTTTTGCCTGAGCCCCTTCCGGCCGTCTGACAGACACAGCAAGGAGGGAGATGCACAATGCAATTTCACTCCACAGTCTAATCACGTTGGTCATCTGCAGCTTACAGGCTGTGGACATTGGTTTCTACTGTGGAGGAATATCACAGTACAGTAGAAATAAATGCTGCATCAAATCAGCCCTCTGCAACATCTGGTCAAACTGGCGCAAAAACAATCACAAGCTACTGACTTGGAAGGAGGAGAGGATCATCCGTGTGCTTTGGGGAAAACACTTGTCTTAGTTCTGGAAACCTAACCCGAGATAACCTTCCATCCTCTCCACCCAGCTCCAAGAGGGCGGCTGCAAGGGAGGCTTTCACTGGATGATGCACGTTCATGCAATATTCATGTGTGCAGCTTTCTTCAGTGAGGTTAATGGACAGAAGAGAAAAAAAAGAAATGTGTCAAGCTGTGTTTTAAAGGTTCCCTGAAAACATTCAGCCCCTGCATCTGCCAACATCAGCAGCACACACTTAACTGCACCTTCCAGAGAGAAACATTGCAGATCAATTTGCAGGATGTTGATCAAATATGTGTGATCTGAGGGAAGTTCCCACGATAATACAGAAAGCAGGAAGTAATCAAAGATCATAGAAATTATGAGTAAGAGGGGCGAGGAGCTGCTGTTCAGTCAGCTGATGTGGCGTGTGAAGGCAAAGAGAGGTAATCATCTGCTCAGCTCACTTTCTGTTGAGTCCCTCGTGTGAAACTGCCGTCAAAAGCAGAAGATCAGATGCAAAACAAACACACAGCAGAGTAGGAACACATGAACGGCAGTAACATTAGTTTAAAGAAGACTGTGGGCATCACATCCTCTGCTGGAGCCAGTCGTACTGAGAACATTTTTATTTACTAGCTTGTTAAGATTCCATTTACAATAATCATTTTAGAAAGATCGATCAAAAAAAAACAAAAAAACAAAACCTTTGTACAGTTATTTTAAAGCAACACAAAATTGCAGATAAACTATATACAACAATGAAACATTAGAATAATGTAAATAGACGTGTGATCAGTTTATCCAAGTTAATCTGAACGGCTGACGTACACTCGAGACCAAATCATGGCGACTAACGCTGCGCTGGGAGTTCATGCTCTTCACACTGCTCGGTACAGGAAGTGATGATAACCGTGAGTCCTACATGCCAACCGACGGGTGTGAATCTGCAGTGATCATGCTACTACTACTATTCCAGCATGCTCGTTTGGAAACAGGCCGCTTTTAAATAAATAAAAAAAGGACTAAGTAGCCTCCTGGATGAACGCAGCGTGTCAACGGAGATGTTTGAAATGCGTGACATCGTTTTTAACAGTCAGAAACAGGTCGTCAGTGAGGTTACGCTCCGGGAAGAGAAGCGGCTTCTCTTCGCAAATACAAAATGTTTTATATACTATATTATCTCCACAAAAATAATCCAATTTAATTTAAAACATTACTCTGCTGCTGCTGCTGCTGCAACACATAAACCCATCGTCTCCTCCGACGTCGCTACAGTCTGTATGTACAAGAACATTTAAGTCTCCGGTGAACTGACGCCACGGTGTTCAGTCATCAAACAGTCCCTTTGTTTACAGCTTACAGTACTTTACGCTAACACTGCATTGACCAATAATTGTGCTTGTTTTAATACCTACAGTAAACGCAACAGCTCCGAGACGACGTAAAAGCCAATTTAAAAAAATCTAATGATGTCTTAGTTAACAGAAGGCAATCCTTCAACTAGCACATTTGAATTAATATATTAATAACTTACAGTGATTCCACATCAGCACCTGCTGACTCGGCCGCTTGTCGCCAAACAGCCTTGTATAGTTTGTTTTAGCTTCCTCTGTCCTGATTCTGATTACCTTCGCCCACACCTCGCACTCCCTGAAGATTATTGTAACGCTTCCTGACATGTTCCAAACACATTGGGCGGCTGTGGCTCAGGCGGTGGATCAGGTTGTTCCCCAGTTGATCCCCCCCTCCCCCGGCTCTTCCACAAGCCGACGTGTCCTCGGGCAAGAAACCAAACCCGAGTTCCCCCCCGTGACGGCAGGCAGCACCTCGCACGGCAGCTCTGTCGCCACCGGTGTGTGAATGGGCGAATAGGAAACACTGTAAAGCGCTTTGAGTACCACTACGGTAGAAAGACGCTATATGAGTTCAGACCATTTACATAAATAAAAAAAATACACAAGCAGTTATATGTAAAAAAAAAAAAAAAAAAGGCATGCCATTGGTCCTTTAAATACTGTTCAATACGAAGGCTGGAATGCTTTTAGATTCTCTGATACCTGATATAGTATAGGTAAGCGATAAAGACGCTCCTTCTGGACACAATAAATAACTATCCTTCATATAGTGCAGTAATATAGTACTCACACTAAACCTACAGTAATTGCACAGTAACCACATGCAACGGGCTAAAGACGAAACAGCCTCCCCCCCCAATCATATCTTCATCTGTCCCTCATTCCCTACTTCCATCCCTCAGTCTACTCTTTGACTTTCTGCTCAGTCAGCCATCATGCACGAATACGACGATATTCAAATATTCTACTTTGCTCGGGGTCCCAGCGTCGAGCCCTGGGGAACACCAGCCTAAAACGGAGAAGGAGACGGCTCTCTGGAGTTTGCAGTCCAAGGCAAAACGGATAACATCTGCATTTAGTATGGTGGTTAACTACAGGTAGTTTGGTTAATCCAGTTATTAATAAAAGAGAAAAGGTGTGAGCATCATCCTGGTAGACATCATCTCTAACGAAGCCTCCCTCCCATTTTGCTCATGTTGTTAGCATCTTGCACCGGTTGTCAAGTCATTTATGTCAGCTTTGTGGAGTCAGGCAGCCAACGCAGTTTATGACTCGTCTTGAGCCTCAGGTTGCAGTAACGAACACTGGTTGTCTGTGCAGTCCTGTTCAGCCTGTGCGTTGCCCTGAGGACTCTAGTGGTATCCATGTTGTAATGATCCCTATGTAAATGGGGCAGTAGGGGGGAGTGAGGGTCTTTCCACTGGCAGTGTCTCTCAGAGGAAAAGAGATAAGTCTCGTCCTCTTCGCTTCCATCATCTTCCGTCGTTTTTCCACTTCTGCAGCCGCTCTCCCTCTCTGAGCCGACGGTATTTTTAGAGCTCTCCGTCTGAGGGCGGCAAACACAGCTTGAACAGCCTGTGGAAGAAGTGGGGTGGGAGGGAATTCAGATGAGGGGAATCCACCTTGTTTATGGCTGTGAATGGTGCAGAGGTGGCTGTAAGTGGCTTCATACGATACCTTGGTGCTGACGGAGGCATCTGGTCCATTACCTTGAGGTTTTTAGCAGAAAGCTCAACTCTTGCCCCCTGGTAGGAGAGAAAGTAGATGCTATAGGCAGTGATCATATATGAAATGGTTCACTTGCTATGAAGCACACAAACTGCTCCACATGCTTTAGTAGATCAGGTAAGAAATAATCACAACACATTGTTATTCTAGTACACCGCTCTGTTGAAAGTAGAGGCTTTTAAATGAACAGATAATGACAATATATATAGTAATATGAGAAAAAAATGAGTTCTAATTGTTGATAATGTAAACTGATAAACACCTATAAAGTACATCACAGTGTATTCTGAACAAACAACATGCTAAACAGGAAGTGATTCAGATTTAATATCATCATGCATCAACGTTCAGTAAAGCTGCATCGCTATGCTAAACATATTCTTCCTAAATGGGGTCTACTCTTTGGAACGCCAGATAGTTTCTGGGGTTTTTTTCCACATTTTTCCTCGATAAAGGCTCATTTTTGAAGTTCTGCACCTCAATGGAAGAAAAGCACAACCACAAAACTGGATCCAACTTCTACATATTATACTGGAAAAAAATGGTACCTCTACATACGAAAGACATTTTACAGTTTTATTTTCTTTATATACACGTCTCCTCTGTATAAACAGTTCAGCCCGTTTCGGTCAACGAGTCCCAGAGCTTTGGTCACATGACTGCCGGTCGTAGCTTAGCTGTGCAGAGAACTGTTTTTTTTACAGAATCTGGTTTGTGTAAAAGATTTATTTTCTGCAATTTTTTAGCGAGACATGTAAACCCAAGCATCTCTATTTAAAGCTCGGATCAGGCTAACTTTCTTAAAGCATCAGACGGTTTTAAATAAGATTGTTCTTCTGTTTATAGTTTCTGGCTCAGAAAAGTTGGTCATTTTTGAGATTTTCTATCTTATTTTTGTTTAATAAAAATGCTTTTTATCTCAGCCAGCAGGTTTTGGGTTTTGAGGGTAAAAACTAACAAACAACAAAATAAGTTAATGAGAATTTTTTTGCCTGAAAGTTTGTTGATGAACATAAATGGACGACGGCTGACATGGTTCATTGAGATCAGATTTAGAATAAACATTCATATTATTAATATCCTTTTATTCTAATTATAGGTGTTGCATTATTTTACACAACTATGAAATACTGATTTGAACCATATTTTCTCACTAAAACTGTGTCTGAGCTTTACCTGTTTCCGCATTATGTCCATGGTCTGCATGATGCAGCGCGGCATGAGGCCGTGATTCCTGGCCAGGATCATCGCCTGCTCCAGTGTCGCACTTAGGGTGCATCTGCAGAGAACAAACAGGCCACAGGTTAGCACTTTGTGTTCCTCTGTAACACACACACACTGCTGGGGGTGTCCATATGTGCACCTGCAAAACATTTTCAAACAGAAATGCATTCAGACAGTGAGGTAACGTTGAGCTTTTCGGGTTCACTGGTGCAAGTCATCGACTCTGCACGGCGTTAATCTTCATTCCTGCTGACAGTCCGGTGATATTGCACCAGCAGCAGAACGATGCTTGTGTGGTCCCAGACGTACCTCTGCATGCCTGTACCACACATGGTGATGTGGCAGGCTCCCAGGCGGTTACACAGCTCAGAGGACACAGGCAGCACGCTGACACCGGACGGGTGGCCTTGGGCGCTCGGCCGCACGTTGACGTAGGACTGCATCAGTCGGCAGAGGTCGTCCAGCGTGTTGAGGGGTCGCAGCAGCTGGGAGGGAAAAGTAAAAGGTCAGCGGTTAAATGTACTGCTAGCAAGATGATTTAGTACCATGAGCTCTAAAAAGCCCATCTTAGCAAGCCATTTAGACTACTGCTCAGTTTGGTTTATAAATACAAGTGGAGGAAAAAGTCACTCGCTACCTACATAGTTAGGCAGCAAATTTGGCAAGAAAGGTGATCATGAAACTAAAATACAGTCGTGACTCAATAATCCGACACTAAATGTAAAACCTTCTTTTATGTTGGATAGCAAGGCTGTCGGATTGTCAAGACGGAGGTCCAGATACAAGGAGGGCTTGATACTGGAAGGATCATTAGTTGTTCATTATTGTTCATAGTTGTTATAATAACTAGTGTATTGTTAGAACACTGCGCACTGACCGGTGTGCTTGAGCATGTTCCGGCCACTTCCACCCCGGGGCAGCGCTCTGACGGGGTGGAAGTGTCCAGAACACACAGGCAGTACTTGGCTGCTGATGCTAGTTTAGTTAGCGCTCACACTTCTGTTTCCTCCATCGGTGGCGGCGGGGGAGTGGCAGATACGCTCCACCGTTACCATCCATGTTTACTTCCATAAACACTGAGCACGCTCGCTGCGTGTGACGTCGTCGTGTCCTCTTCTGCGCATGCGGGACACTTTTGGGTCGTATGAAGTTCACACAGCAGATCACATACAAGTCGCATTGAACTGCAAACGTGAAGGAAGTCACAAAGAAATCCTCATTGAGCATCAAGTCCTGCAGTGTGAACGTAGCCAATCTGTGGGATTGTTCAGTCAGATAATACGCCGTCATCCTGATTGGTGACATTAAATGTCATGTCGGAGTCACAATCCAAGGCTGTCGCTATGTTAACGCTGTTTTTATGGGTTCTGTTTGTTTTTCCTAAAAACCTGTCGGATAGCAGGTTTAGGATTGTTAAGGGTCGATTATCGAGTCACGACTGTTAATGCAAAAAAACAATCTTGTGCATTTAAATAAAATTCAGACATATAATTCAAATGTTTTAACATTCAGAACTAAGCAGAGTAACTGACTTGTAAGATGGAGCAGGAACAGGGAGAAAGCCGTCAAGTGTAACCCAAAGAGGTTTAACTCTTTGCCGTCTTTCTTTTGAAAGACAAAGGAAACCTGAGAGTAAAGCTCTCTAGTGTGTTCTGACACTATGCTCTATTCAGGTTTAATCACTGGGATCTATTTCAGCTACAGTCAGTCTGGGACACTAGAACTGAAGTTCAAATGGAAGCAGTTTATAATGTGGACGTGTTGAGGTTAGTTGGAGTTAATGGGGGGAAGGTGTTGACCAGCTAGTGGGGGTTCCAGTGGAGGGAATGGCACACCAGTTCATCTTACTTTGGAAATGCTTGGTTGAAGGTCTCTAACTTCAAGGCCCAGTATCTGTGCTTGCATTTATATTCAGTCACAACATGATATAAAAAATGTACTTGTGTTACAAGAACAACATACACAAGCTAAAGAAGGACAATACAGACTGTAATGCACACATTGTCTGATGACAGTAAAAGCAGGGATAAGTGTATATTTACCTGGTCTATCTTCATGGCTGTGGTGTTTGAGTCTGTGGGGAGATTGGATTTCTCCAAATAGAAAGCCCTGTTGGGAAGAAAACATCTCCATCAGCTCTCAAATCTCTTCATGTGGTTTGGAAACGTACCTATTCGCGTCCTCTGACTCACTTCATCTGAGAGCTGAGTCATCGAGCATCTCGAGCACTTCGCTATATAGAATAAGCTTCTGCTACCGTACGCGTTTCATTATTTATTAACGTTGAGTCATTTTCTGGGGATCGGTGCGCACATATCACAAACCACGACCACGTTAAGAGGCTGCTGGAAAACGTATATGTATAAATGGGCACTAAATAGGAAGAACAGAAGAATGAAGCAGGTTCATATAAATACAGTAGTCCACTAAGGTTTCTGCAAATAATTTATGATATTTTTTCATGGGTCACTTTTTCACTTCTGCTGCCAGCGGTTTACACATTAATGGTTATTCTGAGGGGGCAGTAGATGTACACTGTTATACCAGCTGTACACTGGAGCTAAGTGTCATTTCTTCAGTGTTGTCCCATTAAAAGATATAATCAAATATATGCAGAAACTTTTGCTGTTTATAGACATGCTTGAAATAGAGACGCTCTCAAATCAAAACCACATATTACAAACATAATCCACAATCTGTCTTCAACAACCTTGTCCAGGAGTGAACACAGACAGTGTATGAACAGTATTCCTTTACTACACACACTGATGTTTGAGAAATGATGGGTCTTAATAATGAGTCATGTGGGTGCACGTAATGGACCAGCTCAGAACATCCAGTAAGCTGATGTGGGCTTTGTTAAACAAAGGTGTGGCAACATGATAAAAGAGGGAAAGTAACAGAGCACACAGCGTCTGCTTGCTAATGCAACACCAGCAGGCTGAGCTCTCCCTTTAAGGTGAAACACAGCCCGAGTGGAGCCGCCGTGGAGCCGTGGTGCAGCAGCGTAGCATAGCGTACCTGAGTCTGCGGTAGTAGGCCTTGACCTTCTCCAGTGAGACCGCGTTGGTGCGCTGCTGGAACTCCTCCACGGCAGCGTAGTCCTGCTGGGACACTCCCTCTGGACGCTCCAGAGCTGCAAAAAAAAAAAGAGGCTTTAATATAAACACACATAAGCCCCAAACTCAAACCTCACCACCTCACAGCTGAGTTTTCACATTAACACTGTTTGTATTGTGGACTCTGAAGCCCCATGTACTCATCCAGCCAACCTCAAACCACCCCCAGGGTTCATAACCAGGGTCCCTCATAAAGGATAAAGATCAGAAAACCTCCTCTCTCTACATTTTTTGTGGGGGTTTTCACACACAAACTTCAACATCTGCAGTATCACGAGGTGCCCCACACTGTCCTGCAGGCACGACGGTCGCCCAGTAGGTGGCGACGTTCACGCACAGATCTGAGCTCCTGAACAGCTCTGAGCTGATGAAGCACAAGGAAACAACACACTTATTGGATTAGTGCTCCAACTAGCACTTGTGTGTGGAAAATAAACGGCTATTTGTACGACAGGCCTGACGCATAAAGCTCTCCATTCATACTGCAGGGAGCACGGCGGCACAGGAGAGTAAAGTTGTTTCAAAGGGCCAATAAAAGGTTTGAGTCTAACCTAATGAAGCCATAGAAAGCCACCAGGAAATGTACATGAGTGAGACGGTGAGAGGCTGCATGACACAAATGATTCTAGTTTACATGTGTACGGTACCTAAGTGGTGTTTGTTTTTAAATCTTTAAATGGCCTCGCCCCGCCCTACCTCTCTGAGCTTCTTCACCCCCACGCCCCTGCACGGTACCTCCGGTCAGCTGATCAGCTGCTCCTTCAGGTACCGAGGTCCAAACGAGCGCTCAGAGGGGACCGAGCGTTCTCTGTTGCTGCTCCTAAAATCTGCACTGACCGACCGTTGCACATCAGGCAGACCTCCTCACTGTCTGTGTTTAAAACCAACCTTAAAACCCGCTTTTATTCACTGGCTTTTAACCCAGCATGAGACCTCGCTCCGTTTTAGTGGTTTTTATTTGTTCTATGTTGTTTTTTATTGATGTTTTGTTTTGTTGTTTTCATGACTTTTAAGCCTCCAGTTCAGCTGAAAAGTCCCTGAAGTCACACGACTGTTGGCTGAGTCACTGATGACGTCCCAGAGTTCTTAGTGTTTTACACAATCTATTCAGTTATTACTGGAAGGCACAACATTAAATGAGACACGTAGAATGAAGTGATTTTGACTGAACATCACCTCACAGAGTTGAAAATCGGATCCTTTTTTTTTATGTATTTACAGATTTTTTAAAAAATAAATGCTGTAATTTTTATGTTTTTTGTCTGTTTTTGAGATAAAAGCCTTTCAGACACACCAGCTGGCTTCAGTGTTCAGAGGCTTTACATATCAAACTATTGGCTGAGGAGTTTCACTTTCCACAGCGTGACAGGTCGTACTATACTATCTACACCCTGGACTCATTGAGTGTCAGGTTCTCCAGTTGTTCAGTCCCAGTCTGGCCAGTCTTACCCCTGGTGAAGAGGACGGTGTGGAGCTTGAGGCTGCCTCCGTTTTGCAGCCGACTGGGCAGCTCATTGAAGTGGCAGCTGTCCAGGTAAAGGGTGACCCTCAAGGCCTGCCGGCTGCCCTCCACCTGGTAACACACCGGAGTGTCTGCAACACACAACCACAGAGACGTTAGCATGACTGTCATGGTATCAGACCAACTCAACACGTGGAAATGAAAATGTGTGCGCTGTTCCAGGCTGGAAGTTGTCTTATATTTAACTACATCAGGTGTTTTATTGTGTATGTCTGCATGAACAGCTAGTGGATCATTTCTCATGTAAACAACTTCAACAATCTTCAAGATTCAGGTGGAGCAGAGCTGCCATCACTGACTAAACTCAACTTTTAATGTGCACCTTCAATACGTTTGCCAGTCAGAGGCTCTTTTATATCTCAGGTTTCCAGATGTCGTTTAAAACACAGAGTGAGCATCAGCGGTTATTTCAAGAATTTGTGTTTTCCCCAAAAAAACCTTCACTGTACTCAACTGTTTTTCATAAAACCACAGTCAGTGCAGTGACAGGTGCATCAGAAGCTGTCAGGACTACAGGTGGACATGATGGCTCACTGTGGGGCTTTAGTTCTGCTGTGTGTACAGCATCAGGGGAAAAAGAAGTACATTTAGAGATAACTGCTACTGACTGCACCTGCATGTTAGTCTGTGTATAGCAGCTACAAATATATTTTAAGACGCTTTCAGCTCTGTGAAGTCCTGATGAGTGGCGTCCAAACCATTGTGCAGGACAATGAGTAAAAGTTGAGCCCTGATTTTATCATGTGTAGCGCTGATATCATTTAGATAATTATATTGATGTCTTGTGCATTTTTTAACTAACAAACATCTTTCTGCACCTAAAAAAGATGTAGTTAAAATAAATGTATCATAAACACATTACAGAAGCAGAGCATCTTTCTAAACCTCCGTACGACTCATGACGAGTAATCGTTTATAAATCTGAGGCTGACTTCTCTCACTTGTCAGAAAATGGAAAAGGCGACCTTTACTGCGCCACCTCTAGGGTCAGCGCTCTTCTCCAGAGAGCCAGTCAGGCAATAATCCCGTGGAATTGCCTGTGATACTTCAGGCTGAACTCACAGGCCTCAGACTCGGTGGTGCTTACATGTCCGTACCCTACCTACAGCTCCCAGCTCGCTGAAAATGTTATTAGCAAATCAATACTGTCCAATGGACTCTGACGCCACGAGCCGCATAGCTGCACTGCACCAGTCTGAGCAGAACTTTAGCAAAGAAGCTTGGTCAACACATGCTCTTAGTGGTAGAGATTGGGCCCATACGGTGAATACATCCCCCATGTCCCCGTCACACATAACGAGCATAAGAACCGTATGAATGGCCAACATGTGACTCGCACATTCATGCCCGACATGTGTACACAAAATACGTTCTGCGGACGTGAACCTAGAATAGCAAATTCCTGCCGCATCCACAGCTTTGCCTCTTAAAATGGGAAGTGCGTGTTGTGCTTTTCCTTTGAGCAGCAATCTCTGCCGGCCACATTGAGGCTGCTGAAAAGGCGGCTGATTCAGGATGCAGTCGTCCTTTGTGTCTGTTGGCTTTAAGGTTTCCAGAGCATCTTCTGAGCACATACTCGGGTTTATTAAAGGCGCAAACATGCTCAGGTCTTAAACTTTCTGAGCAACCTGGGTGCACCCTCAATTAAAAGCACTGCACCACAGCATTGTGTTATTTCTTGACCTTGGGCGCTTTGGCAGGAAAAAACCACAAAATCAACATTTTCATGCTCCTAAAGAATATTTCTCTACTAAAGTAATGCTAGTGTATATGCTTCAGTGACATGTGTAGGTATGTGGTGCGTCTCGGAGCAGCGCTGCAGTTCACATGAAGCCCCTCGCAGCCTGTCAGGAGGAGCATGTTAACTGTAGCACAAGGACAACGAGGACTTTAGGAGACTGCATGCTCTGCCCTTGTTTAAGATGATTTATGGAGCCATTACAGTGTTGTTTTAGCTCTCCATTCAGTAGCTCACTGCTGGAAAGAAAAGAAAATCTGCCGCGGCAAAACGGCAATTTCACCCTCAATAGCTAGCATACATGCACATAATAGAACTTTATTCAGAGTTAGTGAAACCATACAGCTGCTCATTAGCAGCGGCGCGCTTTTGAATGGGCCGAGTCAGTCTTTGTTGACGGAGCCTCTTACTTGCGACGAGACACTCGTCCTCCAGTTGCCTGAAGAACACAGTGACTTTGTCCAAGTCCAACAGGGCGGCCTTGGTGTCCTCCAGCATGGTGCGCTCTTCTTTCTGCCACAGGAGAGAAAGAAAGCTCAGAGGTCGCACCAGGAAGAGCGTCTGGTAGTTCTGGAGGCAGCTGCACGGCTAGAAAGCCCAGAGCCCCAGAGGTTCAGGAGGACATCACAAAAGACAGCCAGACGTGCACACAATGCTGCTGCTTGGTGGCATTAAGCTTTGACGCTATGGATTCTGACATTTTGTCCTTTTTTTCTGACCAACAAAATGAAAATACTAAATCAGTCCTCACCACGTGTGAAGCCAGCGTGGACTGGAAGTGCAGCAGAACACCGATGACGGAGATCTGCTCCAGCCACTTGCGGCTGGTCTCCTTGCTGTCTTCCTGGTACTCGCCGGTGTTGTTGAACCGCGAGCGCAGCGCCATCAGCAGCTGCTCGGCCAGCGTGCACAGGGCGCCCGTCGCCGCCTGGCAGAAGATCACATCCCGTCGCAGCTGCAGAGACGTGTCTGGTGTTGGAGGGCGAGAGAACAAGAAGCGATCATGTCAGAGAGGGATGGTGTCATGTCACGAAGAGAGGGGATGGGGAGACGAGGACAGCGGAGGAGCAGCAGCATGAAACCGAAGAGGTCAAGAGGAGGACACGTGAAAAAGATGAGCAGATGGACGTGCAGGAGAGGGTCAGACCTTCCACCGTCACCTCTCTCATTAGCCATGTCCTGAACTTGTTTCCATGCATACACCTAATTCTATTAAGACTGCATCCCCTGATATCTCCCATTAACTGGTGCCATATGCCACTGGGCCCCGTTCAGAGGGAGCATCGTGCACTTTGACACCAAGCCTCATTCCAGCACAGATAAACTGGTGTCAGCCTGAATGTGAGTTACATTTAAAATTGTTTATCTTGTGTTTATTGCAAACTTGATTTAAAAAAATGAAAAAAAAGATTTTAAAAGGAAATATATTATTTTCTAAAGATGTTTTAACCCTCTGACCTCCAAAACCAGAGATTTAACAGAGCAGATTGGAGACAAATATGGAAAAAAATTCAAAATACAAGCATTAAAACATCTGCGGTACGCAAATGCACACGTTTTCTTTCCTTCCTGTGTTTTTAACAGATGTTGTATATGTTAATTTTATTTTTCAAATGTAAAATAAATAAAGAAATTCAACTTTTTTTCTTTATGACTTATGGCATCATAACTGTGTCACACTGCACAAAAGACATTTCTGAGTTTTCTCTACTTTAATTGATTGCTGTGCTGTTTTCAGTGAGATGCAGGACTTTTATTGCAAATAAGACATATGAGCAAAAATGTGACTGGAGCAGAAAGTGCTCAGTTCAGATGTAAAACTAGAGAACATTTCATACGATGAGCTCGAAACCATTAGCGCAGGAATTCAAGATGCTCCACTTGTGGGACTTTTGCTGAGTGATCACACAGCCCACTTCTTCTGTTAATTTCATGGAAAATGAGACGGGAGTTTGATTGGAACTGGTTTCTGTTTGACTACTTTACTCTACCTGTGCACTTGAGCAGAGCCAGGAGGAGCTGGTTCTTTCCATCTGTAGAAGAAGAAGAAGAAAAACAAGATGGAGTGACTGATAGTAACTGTACACGGTTGTGTGGCAGGAGTGTGTACACGTGTGTGTTTCACTCACCGTCCACAAATCTCTGCAGGCTCTCCACCAGGGTTTTGATAGAGCTGGGGAGGTTCCAAGGGTCCTCCTGGATGTTTTTGTGGATAATGTAACGACAACGAACGGTCCAGTCTTCAGTCTGACGAAACTCTGCTCGCGTAAAAACAGGAACCGTGTGAGTTTGCGTGCAGAATGACTCCCACCTGTCAGGCAGCAAACACAAACAGATTCGTACCTGGCTGGCTGTGGTCGGAGTAAAAGTGCTTGGTCTCCTCGCAGGCCTTGGTCATGACGGGCCCTTTGAGGAGGCTGTTAATGGAGTCAACCTGTGGGCAGAAATGAAAGCAAACACAGAAAGAGTCAGTCATCAAGATGTTTCTGTTTCACACACCCTCCATCCTTTCCTTTTTTTTAAACCAACAATTCTCTCTGCATCATTCAAACAAACACACATCTGCAATAACTTCTGGCAAAGGTCTGTCAGCATAAACAAGCAGGCCTGTGTTTGTGGCCCCCTGAGCTGCTGTTTACATGTGGAAAGAACTAGAGCAGCCGAAGTGGGTGCACCCCACAGGGAGGGAAAGGACATCAGATGCTGGTAAATGACAGGTATCAGCAAAAAGACTGCATGTGAGGAGAAAGACATGGAGAAAGAGGAGGGAGAAGAGAAAGCTGAGAGGTAACTCAGCCCAGATGCTGACTGATGATTATCGCAGTCTGTTCCAAATGGTTGATGCTGATGTTTCTTGTTTCTTTGAGCTGTACGTGTCTTGGCTGAGTGAAAAGTTCTCTGTTAAAACTGGATTTAGTTGTGTTTGGAGGGAGTTATGGAGCAACACATTCTACAACACAACACATCCACAAGACACCTTCTGGCCTCCAACTCCTGACCGAGCAGCTCGGCCGAGCCCACAGCCA